GATTTTGGATACCTGCCTGCCCCTTGTCGGATTTGTTTGCCTCTTCAGCTGACCTCCTGGTTTTGACCCCTGCCTGTTTCTTGGACTGAGTAAAGCGTTTTTCGCACAATATTTGCCTGTTTGCCTTGTCGTGCTTTTGGGTTCTCTGTTGCCCGGACCAGTGGTCGTGACACACGGAAAGGAAAAAAATTACAAAATGTCCAAGGAGCTATGTTGCAGACTTGTAAGGAACACAATAACCAGTATGGTTGCTATCCTGCGTGCTAGTCCCATGGGGAAAGAAGTCAGATACCCGTCAATATTGGAAATGAGAGCCATGTCACAGAAGATTATAGACTATTACCCAATGTTACGGGATGAGGATCTGAACATGCAATACGTAAGTATTATTTTTTATCTAAACCAAAACTTTGGGCAGGTCAGCAACAAGACAAACAATGTATCAACATTCTTTTACCACAGCTCACCATCTACACCCCGCCTGGCCAACCCGCGGCTCGCGAGCCTCATGCAACTCTTTAACTAGTTTTATGCGGCTCTTCAGGAGCTGTCACATGACATGCGTCAAAAATGCTTGACTGGCGCTGTAATTCACTCCCCCTAACGCTAGATGGCACACTGTTTGAGTGACGTCAAACGGGCGACGAGAGAATCTTTGGTGTGACATCATTTGTGTTGTAAACAATTTCCGTCAAGTTGCCTCTTGAAATGACAGGGAAAAAAAGTACAGCCAAACGAAAATATGAAGAAGAACACAGGACGTTTTTGCCAGAGTGGGAGAGTTTATATTTTTTTGTTAAACGTAATGGCAAGCCGATCTGCCATATGTGACGCAGCATTAGCGCATTTCAAAGCTTCAAATCTTCAGCGTCACTTCAGCTCACTCCACCCTAACATCGAACAGGAATTTCCAAAAAGCACTGAACTTCGCAAGAACAAGTTGGTCGCTTTGAAAAGCCAGGCAGAAAAGCAGGTGCAGTTTTTCCAAAAATTTACAAAACACTCGGAGACTGTAACGCTGGCATCATATCAGCTGGCTTGGAACATAGCACGGGCTAAAAAGCCATACAACGAAGGAGACTTCATTAAAAAATGCCTCATTGACGCCTTGGAAATCTTGGCTCCTTGAGACGGCAAACTAAAACGGAGCGTATCAGACGTTCAACTTTCACAGTGTTGAACGCAGAATATCGGATATCAATACAGCTGTTGAATCACAGTTGCACTCTGACCTTCAAGCATGTGATTATTTTAGTGTGGCATTGGATGAGAGTTGTGACATACAAGACAAGCCTCAGTTGGCAATATTTGCACGGTCTGTGACAAATGAATTTATGGTCAAAGAAGAACTCCTTGATATTGTGACATTAAAAGACAGAACCCGGGGCATAGATGTGAAAGAAGCAACGATGGCTGCGTTTGCAAAAGCAAATCTGCCCATACCGAAACTACCCTGTTGTTAAAACATGTTAAATCAAAGCATCAATCTGTTCTGACTGACACTCATTTGAAAGAATTGCTTAGAGTGGCAACAACAGAATACAAGCCAGATTTGAAGAGGCTTGTTCAAGATAAGGAATGCCAGAGGTCTCACTAAGCAGCATAGTAAGAGAAAGTTGTTATTGAAAATGATTCTATTATTGTTTGTGGACTTGCTTGAACTGAGAGTTTGTGTTTGTGCGAGACAATGCACACAATGTTAACTGTTGAAAATGACTGATATGTTGGTGTGGTTATTTTCATTAGATCTGGCTGAGCAGAGGTCTGTATGCGTGCATACATGATTAAAAGATGATGTTCATGTGTACTCATGTGTATGATGTGGCTCTTTGCTGTAACACAGAAAAAAAAGTGGCTCTTAGTCTCTGACTAGTTGGCCACCCCTGCTCTGGCCTGTTCATGACCGAACTAACTGGCCAATGATGCTCGGTTAGGTCCAGCCGTGCTCCCCTTTTCGAGGCCCGGCCAAGAGGATAACTGCCCATCGCACCCGGAAATCGAGGCTCTTGCCAACTGAGATCCTTCGGGAGCTTAGTCTGTGAGAGCCCAACGCTGATATACTTTGCTTGTGACCAATACATTTCATATTTGTACTCTTGATCTACTCTGGTTGATTCTCAGGCTTCCAACTAAAGAACCGAATCTAACAGTTCCTTCAATGCTCTAGAAAGGATAACGTTGATCATGATTCTTATGGAGATGTGGCATAAGATGCCTAGCACATTGCTAAACACACCACTAATGCTATAATTCTTCCATTCATCCTTTCAATCGATAGAAGCCTAGTATGTTTATGTTTTGCATTGGCCTAATGCTTTGGGGTTTTTTTACAGATTAAAATGTGTTGTCCTTTTTGTGGAAATCATCTGCTATGTGAAACAGCATTCTGCAGTTCATGTGGCAGGAACGTACAATTCTTAAATGATGCCAACAAAAAAATTGCCTACAAAACAGGAATTTTAAAGATAGAAATAATTAAAATAATCTTACAATAATCGGATTTGTGAAAAATTGACTTACCTTAGTAATGATGAATAACAGGTCAGAGCGGAAATTATTAAACCGACTGGCACGAGTTATCGAGAAACGCACACTATTTAAAGACATGGAGAGAACCCCAGGTGCACTCAATCAGCAATTAGGGGAGACACAGGTGACACCCGTTGACCTGTTAACGAGAGGCTATGTACTGAAAACTGAAAAAGAAAGGCAAAGAAGCTAAATGATATACTTATTTTCTAAGTGGCACAAAGGGGCAATATCTTGCTACATGTGGTCTAACTAATCAAGCTCCAAATTTTGATCAGCACATGAGCCAAATATAAAAAACTAGAACATTTCTGATTACATTTTCTAGGCTTCCTTGGGCCCTCAAAAGCGACCTGGGAGCCTCTAGAGGGGTTGGACACTTAATATTTGGACTCTTTATAATATGGGCTTGCGCCTATGAGAGGGCCTGGAGGAGAGAAACACAGAGCTGGAGGGACCTGGCTGAGATCTGGGACCC